TGAATCCAGCTGTAACTCTTGTGGTTGATTGGGGTTTCGTGGTAGATATGTCTGATGGGATTGACGTTATCGGTTCCAGTGTCTCATCAGTGAAGTCTATAGTAGTTTCTTCTAAGGTGAATCCACCTGTAACTCTTGTAGTTGATTGGGGTTTTGTAATTGCAGTTGATTCATCAGTAAATCCAATAGTTGACGGTTCAGTTTCCTCGGTTGAATCTTCCTCTGATGAATCTGTTGTAAATGCTGTTGATATTTCAGTAAAACTTGTAGATATGTCTGATGGGATTGATGTTATCGGTTCCAATGTCTCATCAGTGAAGTCTATAGTAGTTTCTTCTAAGGTAAATCCAGCTGTAACTCTTGTGGTTGATTGGGGTTTCGTGGTAGATATGTCTGATGGGATTGATGTTATCGGTTCCAGTGTCTCATCAGTGAAGTCTATAGTAGATTCTTCTAAGGTGAATCCAGCTGTAACTCTTGTAGTTGATTGGGGTTTCGTGGTAGATATGTCTGATGGGATTGACGTTATCGGTTTCAATGTCTCATCAGTGAAGTCTATAGTTGATTCTTCTAAGGTGAATCCAGCTGTAACTCTTGTAGTTGATTGGGGTTTTGTAATTGCAGTTGATTCATCAGTAAATCCAATAGTTGACAGTTCAGTTTCCTCTGTTGAATCTTCCTCTGATGAATCTGTTGAAAATGCTGTTGATATTTCAGTAACACTGGTAGATATGTCTGATGGGATTGATGTTATCGGTTCCAGTGTCTCATCAGTGAAGTCTATAGTTGATTCTTCTAAGGTGAATCCAGCTGTAACTCTTGTGGTTGATTGGGGTTTTGTGGTAGATATGTCTGATGGGATTGACGTTATCGGTTCCAGTGTCTCATCAGTGAAGTCTATAGTTGATTCTTCTAAGGTGAATCCAGCTGTAACTCTTGTAGTTGATTGGGGTTTTGTAATTGCAGTTGATTCATCAGTAAATCCAATAGTTGACAGTTCAGTTTCCTCTGTTGAATCTTCCTCTGATGAATCTGTTGAAAATGCTGTTGATATTTCAGTAACACTGGTAGATATGTCTGATGGGATTGATGTTATCGGTTCCAGTGTCTCATCAGTGAAGTCTATAGTTGTCTTCTAAGGTGAATCCAGCTGTAACGCTTGTGTTGATTGGGTTTTGTAATTGCAGTTGATTCATCATAAATCCAATAGTTGACAGTTCAGTTTCCTCTGTTGAATCTTCCTCTGATGAATCTGTTGAAAATGCTGTTGATATTTCAGTAACACTGGTAGATATGTCTGATGGGATTGATGTTATCGGTTCCAGTGTCTCATCAGTGAAGTCTATAGTTGATTCTTCTAAGGTGAATCCAGCTGTAACGCTTGTGGTTGATTGGGGTTTTGTAATTGCAGTTGATTCATCAGTAAATCCAATAGTTGACAGTTCAGTTTCCTCTGTTGAATCTTCCTCTGATGAATCTGTTGAAAATGCTGTTGATATTTCAGTAACACTGGTAGATATGTCTGATGGGATTGACGTTATCGGTTTCAATGTCTCATCAGTGAAGTCTATAGTTGATTCTTCTAAGGTGAATCCAGCTGTAACTCTTGTAGTTGATTGGGGTTTTGTAATTGCAGTTGATTCATCAGTAAATCCAATAGTTGACAGTTCAGTTTCCTCTGTTGAATCTTCCTCTGATGAATCTGTTGAAAATGCTGTTGATATTTCAGTAACACTGGTAGATATGTCTGATGGGATTGATGTTATCGGTTCCAGTGTCTCATCAGTGAAGTCTATAGTTGTTTCTTCTAAGGTGAATCCAGCTGTAACTCTTGTGGTTGATTGGGGTTTTGTGGTTGCAGTTGTTTTATCAGTAAATCCAATAGTTGACGGTTCAGTTTCTTCTGTTGAATCTTCCTCTGATGAATCTGTTGTAAATGCTGTTGATATCTCTGTTACACTTGTAGATATGTCTGATGGGATTGATGTTATCGGTTTCAATGTCTCATCAGTGAAGTCTATAGTTGATTCTTCTAAGGTGAATCCAGCTGTAACTCTTGTGGTTGATTGGGGTTTTGTAATTGCAGTTGATTCATCAGTAAATCCAATAGTTGACGGTTCAGTTTCCTCTGTTGAATCTTCCTCTGATGAATCTGTTGTAAATGCTGTTGATATTTCAGTAAAACTTGTAGATATGTCTGATGGGATTGATGTTATCGGTTCCAATGTCTCATCAGTGAAGTCTATAGTAGTTTCTTCTAAGGTGAATCCAGCTGTAACTCTTGTAGTTGATTGGGGTTTTGTAATTGCAGTTGATTCATCAGTAAATCCAATAGTTGATGGTTCAGTTTCTTCTGTTGAATCTTCCTCTGATGAATCTGTTGTAAATGCTGTTGATATCTCTGTTACACTTGTAGATATGTCTGATGGGATTGATGTTATCGGTTCCAGTGTCTCATCAGTGAAGTCTATAGTTGATTCTTCTAAGGTGAATCCAGCTGTAACTCTTGTGGTTGATTGGGGTTTTGTGGTTGCAGTTGATTCATCAGTAAATCCAATAGTTGATGGTTCAGTTTCCTCTGTTGAATCTTCCTCTGATGAATCTGTTGTAAATGCTGTTGATATCTCTGTTACACTTGTAGTTATGTCTGATGGGATTGATGTTATCGGTTCCAGTGTCTCATCAGTGAAGTCTATAGTTGTTTCTTCTAAGGTGAATCCAGCTGTAACTCTTGTGGTTGATTGGGGTTTTGTAATTGCAGTTGATTCATCAGTAAATCCAATAGTTGATGGTTCAGTTTCCTCTGTTGAATCTTCCTCTGATGAATCTGTTGTAAATGCTGTTGACATCTCTGTTACACTTGTAGTTATGTCTGATGGGATTGATGTTATCGGTTCCAGTGTCTCATCAGTGAAGTCTATAGTTGATTCTTCTAAGGTGAATCCAGCTGTAACTCTTGTGGTTGATTGGGGTTTTGTAATTGCAGTTGATTCATCAGTAAATCCAATAGTTGATGGTTCAGTTTCCTCTGTTGAATCTTCCTCTGATGAATCTGTTGTAAATGCTGTTGATATCTCTGTTACACTTGTAGTTATGTCTGATGGGATTGATGTTATCGGTTCCAGTGTCTCATCAGTGAAGTCTATAGTTGATTCTTCTAAGGTGAATCCAGCTGTAACTCTTGTGGTTGATTGGGATTTTGTAATTGCAGTTGATTCCTCAGTAAATCCAATAGTTAACAGTTCAGTTTCCTCTGTTGAATCTTCCTCTGATGAATCTGTTGTGAATGGTGTTTGTATTTCAGTAAAACTTGTAGATATGTCTGATGGGATTGATGTTATCGGTTCCAGTGTCTCATCAGTGAAGTCTATAGTTGTTTCTTCTAAGGTGAATCCAGCTGTAACTCTTGTGGTTGATTGGGGTTTTGTGGTTGCAGTTGTTTTATCAGTAAATCCAATAGTTGACGGTTCAGTTTCTTCTGTTGAATCTTCCTCTGATGAATCTGTTGTAAATGCTGTTGATATCTCTGTTACACTTGTAGATATGTCTGATGGGATTGATGTTATCGGTTCCAATGTCTCATCAGTGAAGTCTATAGTTGTTTCTTCTAAGGTGAATCCAGCTGTAACTCTTGTGGTTGATTGGGGTTTTGTGGTAGATATGTCTGATGGGATTGATGTTATCGGTTCCAATGTCTCATCAGTGAAGTCTATAGTTGATTCTTCTAAGGTGAATCCAGCTGTAACTCTTGTGGTTGATTGGGGTTTTGTGGTAGATATGTCTGATGGGATTGATGTTATCGGTTCCAGTGTCTCATCAGTGAAGTCTATAGTTGTTTCTTCTAAGGTGAATCCAGCTGTAACTCTTGTGGTTGATTGGGGTTTTGTGGTAGATATGTCTGATGGGATTGATGTTATCGGTTCCAGTGTCTCATCAGTGAAGTCTATAGTTGATTCTTCTAAGGTGAATCCAGCTGTAACTCTTGTGGTTGATTGGGGTTTTGTGGTTGCAGTTGTTTTATCAGTAAATCCAATAGTTGACGGTTCAGTTTCTTCTGTTGAATCTTCCTCTGATGAATCTGTTGTAAATGCTGTTGATATCTCTGTTACACTTGTAGATATGTCTGATGGGATTGATGTTATCGGTTCCAATGTCTCATCAGTGAAGTCTATAGTTGTTTCTTCTAAGGTGAATCCAGCTGTAACTCTTGTGGTTGATTGGGGTTTTGTGGTTGCAGTTGTTTTATCAGTAAATCCAATAGTTGACGGTTCAGTTTCTTCTGTTGAATCTTCCTCTGATGAATCTGTTGTAAATGCTGTTGATATCTCTGTTACACTTGTAGTTATGTCTGATGGGATTGATGTTATCGGTTCCAGTGTCTCATCAGTGAAGTCTATAGTTGATTCTTCTAAGGTGAATCCAGCTGTAACTCTTGTGGTTGATTGGGGTTTTGTAATTGCAGTTGATTCATCAGTAAATCCAATAGTTGATGGTTCAGTTTCCTCTGTTGAATCTTCCTCTGATGAATCTGTTGTAAATGCTGTTGATATCTCTGTTACACTTGTAGATATGTCTGATGGGATTGACGTTATCGGTTCCAGTGTCTCATCAGTGAAGTCTATAGTAGTTTCTTCTAAGGTGAATCCAGCTGTAACTCTTGTGGTTGATTGGGGTTTTGTAATTGCAGTTGATTCATCAGTAAATCCAATAGTTGACAGTTCAGTTTCCTCTGTTGAATCTTCCTCTGATGAATCTGTTGTGAATGGTGTTATTATTTCAGTGATACTGGTAGATATGTCTGATGGGATTGATGTTATCGGTTCCAGTGTCTCATCAGTGAAGTCTATAGTTGATTCTTCTAAGGTGAATCCAGCTGTAACGCTTGTGGTTGATTGGGGTTTTGTAATTGCAGTTGATTCATCAGTAAATCCAATAGTGGACAGTTCAGTTTCCTCTGTTGAATCTTCCTCTGATGAATCTGTTGTGAATGGTGTTATTATTTCAGTGATACTGGTAGATATGTCTGATGGGATTGATGTTATCGGTTCCAGTGTCTCATCAGTGAAGTCTATAGTAGTTTCTTCTAAGGTGAATCCAGCTGTAACTCTTGTAGTTGATTGGGGTTTTGTAATTGCAGTTGATTCATCAGTAAATCCAATAGTTGATGGTTCAGTTTCCTCTGTTGAATCTTCCTCTGATGAATCTGTTGTAAATGCTGTTGATATCTCTGTTACACTTGTAGATATGTCTGATGGGATTGATGTTATCGGTTCCAGTGTCTCATCAGTGAAGTCTATAGTTGATTCTTCTAAGGTGAATCCAGCTGTAACTCTTGTAGTTGATTGGGATTTTGTAATTGCAGTTGATTCATCAGTAAATCCAATAGTGGACAGTTCAGTTTCCTCTGTTGAATCTTCCTCTGATGAATCTGTTGTAAATGCTGTTGATATTTCAGTTACACTTGTAGATATGTCTGATGGGATTGATGTTATCGGTTCCAGTGTCTCATCAGTGAAGTCTATAGTTGATTCTTCTAAGGTGAATCCAGCTGTAACTCTTGTAGTTGATTGGGGTTTTGTAATTGCAGTTGATTCATCAGTAAATCCAATAGTGGACGGTTCAGTTTCCTCTGTTGAATCTTCCTCTGATGAATCTGTTGTGAATGGTGTTATTATTTCAGTGATACTGGTAGATATGTCTGATGGGATTGACGTTATCGGTTCCAGTGTCTCATCAGTGAAGTCTATAGTTGATTCTTCTAAGGTGAATCCAGCTGTAACTTTTGTAGTTGATTGGCGTTTTGTGGTTGCAGTTGATTCATCAGTAAATCCAATAGTTGACGGTTCAGTTTCCTCTGTTGAATCTTCCTCTGATGAATCTGTTGTGAATGGTGTTATTATTTCAGTAAAACTGGTAGATATGTCTGATGGGATTGATGTTATCGGTTCCAGTGTCTCATCAGTGAAGTCTATAGTTGATTCTTCCAAGGTGAATCCAGCTGTAACTCTTGTGGTTGATTGGGGTTTTGTAATTGCAGTTGATTCATCAGTAAATCCAATAGTTGATGGTTCAGTTTCCTCTGTTGAATCTTCCTCTGATGAATCTGTTGTGAATGGTGTTATTATTTCAGTGATACTGGTAGATATGTCTGATGTGATTGATGTTATCGGTTCCAGTGTCTCATCAGTGAAGTCTATAGTTGATTCTTCTAAGGTGAATCCAGCTGTAACTCTTGTGGTTGATTGGGGTTTTGTGGTAGATATGTCTGATGGGATTGACGTTATCGGTTCCAGTGTCTCATCAGTGAAGTCTATAGTTGATTCTTCTAAGGTGAATCCAGCTGTAACTCTTGTAGTTGATTGGGGTTTTGTAATTGCAGTTGATTCATCAGTAAATCCAATAGTTGACGGTTCAGTTTCCTCTGTTGAATCTTCCTCTGATGAATCTGTTGTAAATGCTGTTGATATTTCAGTTACACTTGTAGATATGTCTGATGGGATTGACGTTATCGGTTCTAGTGTCTCATCAGTGAAGTCTATAGTTGATTCTTCTAAGGTGAATCCAGCTGTAACTCTTGTAGTTGATTGGGGTTTTGTGGTTGCAGTTGATTCATCAGTAAATCCAATAGTGGACGGTTCAGTTTCCTCTGTTGAATCTTCCTCTGATGAATCTGTTGTGAATGGTGTTATTATTTCAGTAAAACTGGTAGATATGTCTGATGGGATTGATGTTATCGGTTCCAGTGTCTCATCAGTGAAGTCTATAGTTGATTCTTCTAAGGTGAATCCAGCTGTAACTCTTGTGGTTGATTGGGGTTTTGTAATTGCAGTTGATTCATCAGTAAATCCAATAGTAGACGGTTCAGTTTCCTCTGTTGAATCTTCCTCTGATGAATCTGTTGTAAATGCTGTTGATATCTCTGTTACACTTGTAGGTATGTCTAATGGAAATGATGTTATCGGTTCCAGTGTCTCATCAGTCGTAATTTCATCAGTAAATGAAACTCCAATAGTTGATATTTCAGTCTCCTCTGATGAATCAAGTGTAAATGCGGTTGCTGGTTTATCAGTAATATCAGTGGCTGATGCTTCTGTGAAATCTGTTGGTGATTTGTCAGTAAATTCTGTTGTAAATTGTGGTATCTCTGTTGAATGATCTGTAAGATCTATGGTAGGGTTTCCCAACAAGGATGTTGAAAATTCTTCCATTGTTGTCTTTTTCGTTATGTCATCATTGGTTGATTCATCTGTAACAAATTTATTTCTGTAAATTCTTTTCTGGGTAGTTGAAGCAGTTGTGTGTGATAAAGGTAACTTACCTGTTAAACCGGTTATAGATTCAACAGTTTTACTTGTAATTGATTCAATGGTCATTTCTGAGGGCAATCCATCAATTGTGTTGGTCGTAGAAACATTTACATTGTGAACAATTGGTTCTGCTGTGAAGTCATCCGTTGAGTCTGTGGCATCTGTAACATCAGTTGTTTGCTCAGCTCTGATAACACTATGTGCTATTAAAAAAGACAAAATGTAAGATAAAGTGCATTACATAAACAGAAATGAAAAAAAGTGGGATGAACAATATGAAAATCAATGTTAATGTGAAAAGACATGAACTTGGGCCAACCTGTTAACACAAAAATTGTGATCATCAATGCTGTTCTCCACATCTTGATAGCTGCCAGAATTGAATTAAACACAGCATATGAGAGATAAATGAAGGTATCAAAAAATAGACGTCATATAACTTTTTTTCCCCTATAAATGGATTGCCCAGAATTTCTCGATTCCCACTGGGAATCTCCCATCTGAAACGCCTGGTTCTTGTCTAATGAGCTGATGGGTTGAATGAGGTGTGTTAGATCAGATAATTATCCTTTCACAAATGCAGTGCTTCAGGAGACTCTAAAAGGGTTGAGAAACATTATCATCCCATTCTCATACTGCAGTTTTATCTTAGTGTGACCTAGATACTTTGCAGTTACTGTCTTGAGTTCAACGGGACCCCACAAACTGTCAAATGTCCTACCACTGGATTGGGGTTTATGAATAATTAAAAAATACATATTAATAAATATAAAATTTTGTGCTCCATTTGCACTTAAAGGGGAAATGAAGCGGTGAATCAAGTTTACATGATTTACAAGATGGATTTCCAATATAATCAACAATTATATAAGAAACATTACAAATGTAAACATTTAGAAGAAAAAAAGAAAAAACTTTGTATCTTTCGCCGCCAGGGCGCCGCCATTGTGCAGTTGATGTCACGGGGTTGGTTGGCTCAAGTTTAACAGGCTCTGGGCATTGAAAATCGCGACATCGTGTTTACACCAGTGTTTTGACCGCGAACGACTAATGTTAGGTACAGTCATTAGACAAAAAGACGACGTCTAATGTTATATGTTGACAAACTGCACATAGAAACATTGTTCGCGATGTCTGCCGTCATATTCCCGTCTCGTCAACACCATGTAAGTTACGTTGCTGTGTAGAACAGCCGGTGGTGGTTTGGGGCGCAGAGCGGGTTTGCAACGCTAACTTACCAGGTGTCAGTGTGGCTGTTGTCCTGCGATGCCCTCCGTGGCAGAGTGAGTCCATCTGTGGTCAAGAGGTTGATCTTGAGCATGTATTGCGTGGTCAATTCTGCATCACCGGCGCGCACGTTTACCATGCTGTGCCGGGAGTTAGACGTGTGGAAGCGGCGACGCTTTCCCTGAAGGATGTCAGAGCGGAGACACTTTTTCCTAGTATATGTAGGCTGTAACTACTAGCACTACCAGAGCGAAAATATGGACGTTTCATTTCCCCTTTAACAAATACATGCTAACTTACATGTTGTTGACGAGACGGGAATATGACGGCAGAGATCGCGAACAATGTTTCAATGTGCAGTTTGTCAACATATAACATTAGACGTCGTCTTTTTGTCTAATAACTGTACCTAACATTAGTCGTTTGCGGTCAAAACACTGGTATAAACACAGTTTGATGTTGCGATTTTCAATGCCCAGAGCCTGTTAAACTTGAGCCAACCAACCCCGTGACGTCAACTGCACAATGGCGGCACCCTGGCGGCGAAAGATACAAAGTTTTTTTCTTTTTTTCTTCTAAATGTTTACATTTGTAATGTTTCTTATATAATTGTTGATTATATTGGAAATCCATCTTGTAAATCATGTAAACTTGATTCACTGCTTCATTTCCCCTTTAAGTGCGTCTGGTTCTGAGTCAAGTGTCGGTTTCGACTTAAGGCGACAGGTAAAAGCATTAATTTTGAGATTTTTGTTGTTGTTGAGCTATTCATCATGCTTCCATAAAATTTTTTCTTTCAGACTAGAAAGAAACATCAGAAATACACATTTAAGTGTTTTTTTTTTTTTTTTGCAATGCATATCTTTAAAGGCTAAAGAAAGTTTTTTTCTTCCACTTCTGCAGCACTTACATACACCAAACTTTACAATTTTATTCCCATCTATATTCTGAAGGTTTTTACTGAGGGGTTTGTTCATAAACCATTCACATTTTACATAATATTTTATTCCTAAAAACATTGTGAGTCTTTTTTTGTTATATATTTTTTTTAAACTGGCTGTTGTAAAATTACAAAAAGAGATACACATAAACCCCTTTAACTGCAACATGTTAAGAGTTTTAAACCTGACTTTATCCTATGTTCAAGATTTATGTTATGGAAATGTATGCCAATTCATTAGTATTTATTTAGACAATTCCTCATTCACATATTTATTTCAAATTTTAGAAAACTTGTAATAATTTTACAGAACAGTTTTGTGACTACATATTGTTGGTGTAGGAATTAGTTTGTTGGGAAGATTTTTTGTGTGACAATTTTTTTTAAAATGTATTATTAATTTATATTTTTTACTCACCTAAGTTAGTGACTTATATTTACGTTGAAAATACAATGTACATTTCGAAATGTATTTATTTTTTACATTTAAAAATACACAGTATTGACTTTTATATTCTTATTTCAGTCTAATGTTCTGAAGTTATGGTCCTAAAAAGGCTAAAAGTGCCATCAGTATTTTGAAGGTAAGAAAGAAAATCAAACTCACCCAATTCGTCTGATCAGTTCAGTGAATGATATAAACTCAGGTCAGGCTGTAAGTCCCATTGCAAAGTTAAGTGCATACATCTCTTGCTTAAATTCAGCTTTATTACCTCTGTTATGAGTCATGAGCCGTGTCATTATCACAACGACAAGCAATTGGACAAAAATGAGGAAGACCATCATTCAATGACAAGTGGAATTCTTAAACATTCCAAAGCTCTTCTTTTTGTGGTTAGGCTCTTTACCGATGCTTTGTTGTTGCATTCCACCTTAAACTGCTCTGGGAATTGATCAATGTTTTTACAGATCAATGTTGCTGTTCTAATTGTTAGTCTCTTAAGTAGTTAGTACATGAATGTCTGTTTAAGTGATTTATTTTTAGGTAAATTTCACACCCTCACAACATGAATTTTACAAACAATGCTGATGTGTTTGCTTATATTACATTATATTATATTATATTATATTATATTATATTATATTATATTATATTATATTATATTAGTTTGTTCCTTGGGAATGTATTTTGTAAAGGCTGGAATACACTACACAACTTTTGCCTTTAGACTTTTCACATTTTTACATATTTATATTTACATTATATCAAGAATAAAAATTTGAACTTCAGAAAATTGAGTTCTTGATATCAAGAATTTACATTTTTACTAGTAACTAATTATTTGTAGCACTTTGCAATAAGGTTTATATTTATTAATCTTTATTTGAAGAGTTCAGATGCAAAAGCCTCTAAGTGCCATTTGAAATTTTCTTCTAAAATGATCATTTTTATCAAGCTTGTATATTTAAGTTCACTAATTTCACTTAAATGACAATTAATAGGTAATCTTCATTGTCATTTAAGTGAAACTACTGAACTTAAATATACAAGCTTGATAAAAATGATCATTTTAGAAGAAAATTTCAAATGGCACTTAGAGGCTTTTGCATCTGAACTCTTCATTTATTAACTGTATAAAATGTTTATTGTTTGTTCATGTAAGTTCACAGTGCATTATCTAATGTTAAAATACAACCTTTGATTATAATAACATAGTAGTAAATGTTGAAATTAATATGAACTATGATTAAAAAAAAGTATTGTTCATTCATTATTAGTTCATGTTAACTAATGTAGTTAACTAAAGTTAGCTAATAAACCTTATTGTAAAGTGCTACGATTATTGATATAAAAAATGTGGACATCTGATATGTAAAATTAGAATTTTTAACTAGTAATCAATAATTGAATTTGAATGGCATCCTATGGTTACATTAAACTAATGAAAATACAAACATGAAGAATTATAGTTTGTTAGTTGAAATGTAGTAATTCCTGATATCACAGATATCCATTGTTACTAGTAGAAATCCAATTCTTCAAATTTTTAACTAGTGAAAATGTAATGGTTGATATCAAGAATTCATACACTGGGAATGAATAAAAGTGGCCATAGAGTTAGCTGTGTTCAGATGTCCAGCATTTCTACTTTGTAATCATTTAAGTATAAGATGGCGAGGGTTTGAACTCTTTTTACATAGTTGGGTATATTTTCTATAGCCTGGACTATTTTAGTCTTGTATTCCTGAAGTTTGTGTCATCCGGTGCTGTGACAAAATTGCCTTTTAAAAGGTTTTTAGTCCACATTACAATTTACAGTGATCTGTTATCAGGGGAGACTGTCTAACGATATATATCTTTAAAAAATTGACCTATGCAAAATCACAGTTAGTGAAAATTGTATTAATTTAAACAATGTAATAATTTAACTTACAATTGAGAGACGACCCAGTGTGTGATATCACTCAAATGAATGTATTTAATGGTATCACGCACTTAGGTAATGCAAGTCTTTTGTATTTTAAGACTTTGAACAATTCGCCTTCCATCACTTCAGTATATGTTTGTTCTGATGTACTGAACGTGTACGGTGTGGGTTTAGATGAGAGAAGTACTGTGGCTCTACTACTGCTGAGACTCAGCAGATGGCGCTGTTTAATTGTTTGTGGGATATATAAAACCCATGGCCAATTAGAAGTCCAAAGAGGAAAGCTGAAAGAGAAAACTGCATACATACAAAGAAGAGTGGAAAGACAACATACCTTCATCCTAACCAGTTTTAGATTGAGGTTTCTCCGGATTCCCTCCATCTTCCACATTCCCTCCATCGGTGACTTCAACTCTTTGCAAAATGCATTGAGAAATGTGATTTTTGAATTGTGTGATGATTCTCTCACCATATCTGGCACAAAGTTTTGCGCCATGACCCACCATTGGGGGGTGTTGATGGCGCAGTGGATAAGACACATGCCTTTGGTGTGAGAGACCCGGGTTCGAATCCACTGTGAGACACCAATGTGTCCCTGAGCAAGACACTTAACCCCTAGTGTCTCCAGAGCCGTGCGACCTCTGACATATATAGCAATTGGAAGTCGCTTTGGATAAAAGCGTCAGCTAAATGAATGTAAACGTACAGACTGATCTCATGAAGTAGCGTGTGTATGACACGCCATTTCGTATTTACATTTTTGGCGTGCTATCAACACGCATAATCGCTTTTCAGCGTGTTAATGAATGCAGTTGATTTAACGTTATTATGTAAATATAAATATATGACCTACCCCAACCCCGTTTCTAAACCTACCCGTCACTGGGGTTAATAGCATTTATGAGTCTTCCCCTACCATCCGAGTAAAAAATACACGCCACTTTCGAGTCAAGTGGCGTGTTATCTCTACGCATTTTGAGCTATCCGTGTGTATGTCGCCGTTAATGTCCGAGTGATTCCGCGTGTCTGTACACGCCATTAAATGTCCAAGCGAAACGAAGCAAAATGTAGATCTACATCTGGGGAGCGATCTTTTTTTTTTCCTAGGATGGTAGGGGAAGACTAATAAATGCTATTAACCCCAGTGACGGGTGGTTTTAGGGACGGGGTTGGGGTAGCTCATATATTTATATATACAGTAAAAACGTTAAGTCAACAGCATTCATAAACACGCTGAAAAGTGATTATGCATGTTGATAGCACGCCGAAAATGTACAAACCGAATTCCATAAAAGTTGGGACACTGTACAAATTGTGAATAAAAACAGAATGCAATGATGCGGAAGTTTAAAATTTCAATATTATATTTAGAAAACAACACAGATGACATATCAAATGTTGAAAGTGAGAAAATGCATAATTTTAAGGGAAACATAAGTTGATTTTAAATTTCATGGCATCAACACATCTCCAAAAAGTTGGGACAAGGCCATTTTTACCACTGTGTGGCATCCCCTCTTCTTTTAATAACAGTCTGCAAACGTCTGGGGACTGAGAAGACAAGTTGCTCAAGTTTAGGAATAGGAATGTTGTCCCATTCTTGTCTAATAAAGGCTTCTAGCTGCTCAACTGTCTTAGGTCTTCTTTGTTGCATCTTCCTCTTTATGATGCGCCAAATGTTTTCTATGGGTGAAAGATCTGGACTGCAGGCTGGCCATTTCAGTACCCGGATCCTTCTTCTACACAGCCATGATGTTGTAATTGATGCAGTATGTGGTTTGGCATTGTCTTGTTGGAAAATACAAGGTCTTCCCTGAAAGAGTCGATGTCTGGATGGGAGCATATGTTGTTCTAGAACTTGGATATACCTTTCAGCATTGATGGTGCCTTTCCAGATGTGTGCGCTGCCCATGCCACACGCACTCATGCAACCCCATACCATCCTTGTCCTCTTTAGTCCGGATGACATGGCGTCCCAGTTTTCCAAAAAGAACTTCAAATTTTGATTCGTCTGACCACAGAACAGTTTTCCACTTTGCTAGAGTCCACTTTAAATGATCCTTGGCCCAGAGAAAACGCCTGCGCTTCTGGTTCCCGTTTAGATATGGCTTCTTTTTTGACCTATAGAGCTTTAGCAGGCAACGGTGAATGGCACGGTGGATTGTGTTCACTGACAATGTTTTCTGGAAGTATTCTTGAGCCCATGTTGTGATTTCCATTACAGTAGCATTCCTGTGTGTGATGCAGTGCCGTCTAAGGGCCCGAAGATCACGGGCATTCAGTATGGTTTTCCGGCCTTGACCCTTATGCACAGAGATTGTTCCAGATTCTCTGAATCTTTGGATGATATTATGCACTGTTGATGATGATAACTTCAAACTCTTTGCAATTTTTCTCTGAGAAACTCCTTTCTGATATTGCTCCACTATTTTTTGCCTCAGCATTGGGGGAATTGGTGATCCTCTGCCCATCTTGACTTCTGAGAGACACTGCCACTCTGAGAGGCTCTTTTTATACCCAATCATGTTGCCAATTGACCTAATAAGTTGCAAATTGGTCCTCCAGCTGTTCCTTATTTGTACATTTAACTTTTCTGGCCTCTTATTGCTACCTGTCCCAACTTTTTTGGAATTTGTAGCTCTCATGAAATCCAAAAGGAGCCAATATTTGGCATGGCAATTCAAAATGTCTCACTTTCAACATTTGATATGTAATTTATATTCTATTGTGAATAAAATATAAGTTTATGAGATTTCTAAATTATTCCATTCTTTTTTACTCACAATTTGTACAGTGTCCCAACTTTTTTGGAATCGGGTTTGTAAATACGAATTGGCGTGTCATACATTCACAATAGCGTAACTCGGCGCGTGCAGTTCAGCACGAGTGTAAAAGTAGGTTATACGGCAGATAATGATTACAAGAAGTTAGGCTCCATTGTGTAACGAGCAAATTAAAATGATACACATTTATTATTCACAGGATGGATGGATGAAGACACTAACTGCTGCAGAATGATAAAACTGGAAATAAAAGTAAAAGAGAACATGCCAACGTTTTGGGAGTGTGTTCAACCCATTCAAATCAAAATGTGTTTACATTTACAACATACAATAAAGCCGTCCGTGAAAACATTGGAAGTCTTTTCTCTGCACTTTTGACTGGCAAATAAAGGTTTGAGAGAATGAACAGATCACAGATTCATTTCTTTCTTTCTTTCTTTCTTTCTTTCTTTCTTTCTTTCTTTCTTTCTTTCTTTCTTTCTTTCATGGAACAATAAGGGGTGTGTTTGGACATTCATTCCCATGACTTCCATTTGTGTGTGTGTGTGTGTGTGTGTGTGTCTTTCATGCTCATAGACATGCGTGTTTTTATGTCTATGAGCATTGAATGACATGCGTGTGTGTTTGTGTGAATTAGAATGATGTGTGTGTGTGTGTGTGTGTGAATGGTGACATTTCTGGGTGAACTGTCAACTGATAATGTTTTGTAATCATTTCCATATCACATGCTTTATGATTCGTAGATATAACTGGACGGGCGATACATGAAAATGTGATCACTGAGAGAAGAAATAATAATACAATGACTCTTTTTATTATTGTTGTTGTTTTTTATGGCCATTCTAATACTGGTCACCAGAGTTTATTTCGCAAGTGATAAATATAACTTCATAGCCTACATAATAACTGTTATTACCACATCCAGTGTGAACAATACAGCAATACAATTCACAGAAAACACCTTTAGCATTGCATTTACATCAGAAATATAGATTATTTTTCTTAATTTAAATAAATAATTTAGAAAATACTTGTATCATACAGATAATTTGTGCATAAAACATGAAGAGTTGAAGAGTTTGGCTATGTACAGGTTTATGTTATGTAATATTCTTCTTATTAATAATCTTCTTATCCATGTGTTTTCCCTCAGCCATCTCTGAGTCATATCCTGCAAATTTTTAACATTCTTCCATGCTGTTTTACAGGTTTCATAATCTTTGAAATACTTCATCCTTTTTCTTACCAAACCCTGTCTCGTTTCGGGCTCCTCAAAGTCAGCCAGCGTTTCCACGACTAGAGTATGTGTGTGCATGAGATAAAGATGTGTGTGTGAGACGCCTTTTGAAGATATGAATCATTTTTAAGTGAACCTTTTCCATCTGTCAGGACATAGTAGTGTTTATCTTCTCTTTCCGTTTTAATATGTGGAGTATTTTCATCTATATGGAGTAGTTCTGGTCAAATGAAATAGTCCATGGAAGATTTTGACTGACCAGTGTTGTGAATTTAAGTATCTATCAAATAAAAATGACTGTACATAAACGCACAACGTTCTTCCGACCCTAATCTATAAAACACAGGAATATACAGGACAGAATAGGATTATAGTACGCTCATTATTAGCTATGAGTCCTTGGCTTGAGCAGACGCTGTTGGCTTCATTCAGACCCGTCTCTCGTGGATGTGTAGTTATGGTCAATCAAACCTCGAGAGCAGAAGCGCCGCCGCCACCAGGAGTACGGCGGTCAACACACTGATCCTGCTGCTCACTTCAGCGGATGAAAACACTGCGTCCAGGAGAAAAAACACACAAGTTATCATTCACTGAACAGTAGAAACATCAGGTCCATTCTCTCTCTGCATACAGTCCGCATTCCTTCAGATAGAAAGTCCTTTTCTTCTGCTCGTTTTAATTGGGAACACAATGTGGCCAAAAGTGTTGTCCGGGGGGATATCTGTTTTTAATGGCCCTAGTTGGATTAACATCACAATACTAAACCTAAACCTACCCAGCTCCACCCCCTAATCCCTAAACCCACCCCTAATCCTACCCAGCTCCACCCCCTGATCGCTAAACACACCTCTAAACCTACCCAGCTCCACCCCCTGATCGCTAAACACACCTCTAAACCTACCCAGCTCCACCCCCTAATCCCTAAACCCACCCCTAATCCTACCCAGCTCCACCCCCTAATCGCTAAACACACCTCTAAACCTACCCAGCTCCACCCCCTGATCCCTAAACCCACCCCTAATCCTACCCAGCTCCACCCCCTGATCCCTAAACCCACCCCTAATCCTACCCAGCTCCACCCCCTAATCGCTAAACACACCTCTAAACCTACCCAGCTCCACCCCCTGATCCCTAAACCCACCCTAATCCTACCCAGCTCCACCCCCTAATCCCTAAACCCACCCCTAATCCTACCCGGCTCCACCCCCTGATCGCTAAACACACCTCTAAACCTACCCAGCTCCACCCCCTGATCGCTAAACACACCTCTAAACCTACCCAGCTCCACCCCCTGATCGCTAAACACACCTCTAAACCTACCCAGCTCCACCCCCTGATCGCTAAACACACCTCTAAACCTACCCAGCTCCACCCCCTAATCCCTAAACCCACCCCTAATCCTACCCAGCTCCACCCCCTAATCGCTAAACACACCTCTAAACCTACCCAGCTCCACCCCCTGATCCCTAAACCCACCCCTAATCCTACCCAGCTCCACCCCCTGATCCCTAAACCCACCCCTAATCCTACCCAGCTCCACCCCCTAATCGCTAAACACACCTCTAAACCTTCCCAGCTCCACCCCCTGATCCCTAAACCCACCCCTAATCCTACCCAGCTCCACCCCCTAATCCCTAAACCCACCCCTAATCCTACCCGGCTCCACCCCCTGATCGCTAAACACACCTCTAAACCTACCCAGCTCCACCCCCTGATCGCTAAACACACCTCTAAACCTACCCAGCTCCACCCCCTGATCCCTAAACCCACCCAACTCCACTATAGAGTTGAAATGTAATTTAAAAAATGTAATTAAAAAGTTAAAAGTGAAAGTTGGAAGTTGGGTTAAAATTTTAAATTACATTTTTGACCCAACATTTGGGTTTGTCCATATTTGACCCAAATTTGGGTTGAAACAACCCAGTATTTTTTAGAATGTACACTATCCTGCATTGATATGAGTGAAGTTATCAAAGTATAAATACTCATCTGAGCAAAAAGATTTGAGTGCAACACTTACCTGTGCCGTTTATCACAATTTCAGATGTGAAGATCTGGAAGGCTATGGAGTTGTTTCTGGCGGCTTTAACTATAGTGTTCACTATCTGGGTGCTGTTGGGTAGAGCGCCGTTCGCTCCAAATGCGAGATCCATGGAGTTTCGGATCGTGGGTACACTCCTTGTTTTTACACTGGCATTACTGGAGGGAGTTTTAAATCAAAATTCATTCAATAAAACTGAATGCAATATGTCAAACGTTGTATTCAAGAACACACAAGCAAACACACACATGCATACCTGAAGGTTGTTAATGTTAAGATGCTGAATGATGATGGGTAATCGGCAAAGAAAAAAGGTTCAAGCTGCAACAAAAAGGAGAGTTGTTTAGACTAAATTGGCATAAACTTGTTTGCTGAAATAACCCAAAAACACTTCACACCTACCCCTGTTTTTATCATCAAAGCCCTGTCCTTAAATTCAGTTGAACTTGTATTTGAAAGAGCAGCCACAAAGGTGCCGTTAGTCACGATGGTCACTGGAATTATCTGCAGTGATTCTGCAAAAAGATTTGAAAAGGCATCAATGTTGCACAGAGTTTTCTAGGCAAGTCAACATGGTACATTTCCAAGCAATTGGGCATATCAGATGAGTAGATGGAGCGTGATGACTAGACTTACTGATGACAGTAACAGTGGTGGGGTCGATGGTGAGGTTGAAGCTCGGAGCTGTAGCTGCTTCTTTCAGAGTCTCCACAATGGAAGTGGCGGAGGGAATGGGTTCGGTTGACTTTTCACTAAACACTAAATCAACATCTGCCTGGACATTTGTCTCAGCTCGGGTTTTGGCAACGGCTCTGAAATGAAAAACAAGAGATTATAATAACTGTGTCCAGATATACTGTGCAACTAACCATAAATGCAACTAACTACACAACCATAAATGCTTAGGAAAGCAAAATAAACTTAATTCAAAAGGGAAAAATTGTAGTTTCACGCTCGCAGCGGCAAAGTCACTCGTTACAATGCAAGTACAGATGGAATACATCACATTAAATGCAAGTTGTTTTGGACGCACCGATATGAAGTTTTTTGCTAATGCCAATTAAAGGCCTGTCACACCTCCTGCTTCCGGAATGCGGAATGGGTTAACATAATTAACATAATTTGCATTAATATCTTTCACGTCTACTGCGGTCAGATTGGCTGTGGTCACTCTTAATAACACCACTCACACGGCTCTGCACTCGTAATGACAAATCTAGAATGTTAAGAGGCTAAAAGCAGGTTTAGAACATGCCCCATTGAAGTCAACAGGGTGCGATTTATAAAAAGAGGATAACACGGTGTTGGCAACACCGATTTTTGTCATATTTACTGACAGCACTCCAAATGTCCAAAAAAAATGAGCTCATTGTTAAAATTGGCCGGAGTTCTCCTTTAAGATGTCAGTTTAACTTACATTCTAAATCATTACATCTTAAAGACATCTACTAAACGTCTATTTGACATCTGACAGGAAACGTCTTATAGACGTAAACACACACTCTCTCTGTGATGTACGTGTGCTATCAGGGACGTAACTCCGCCCCGTGCAGTCTGCGACATTGAAGCAACATGAGCCCCTTTCACACAGCGTGTTGAACCCAGGAAATTGCCAGAACACCTCCTGTGTGAGCGCAAACACAACCTGGGATTGATGCCAGGTTGGGGACATAGTAGCAAGAGTGTTCAGTTGTTGCGTGAACAAAAGCCGTAATCAATGCCGTGTCGTAAGGATGGCGCTTAAGCCGGGATCGTTCGCCAGTCTGAAATGGTACGTAATATGCTAGTTTATGATTGAATCAGAAAAAAAAAATGCCCAGACGTGGTTTCTCTCGAGAGAAATCGCAGCTCATTAGCAAACTATCGACGCCGCTGAGACATGTCACATGTCTTTGCTGGTTGTCTGTGAACACACTATCTGACTTCCGAAAATCACTGACGGTGTGAATGAACCAAAGTAAAACGAAATTGGGTCAAATCCCGGGTCACTTTATCCGTGTATTTTTCGGAATCTCTGTGTGAAAGAGTCAACTCCGCAACAGGAGCCGCTTGTACAAAAAAAAAAAAACACGATAAAAGAGAGAGACGCCCAGCAACAAGTGCCTCCATTTCACAAAGCAGACAACACAAGCATTTACAAATGCTACACAATTTGAAAAGGATTCGTTTTTTTAGTTTTATACAAGTTATATTTTACTTTTAAGATGGCAATATTTCCAATTTTTGTTGTTGTTTACAAAAATAACTATTTTCTACATTTTTTGGAAACTTGCTTTTTACATTAAAACTTAACGACTTTTATATAAGACGTTTTTATTTCATTGTATACTTTGTTTAATTAAACTGTTTGAAATTTTAAATAATTCCGCATTAAAAGCTATCTGTGTGCTTCCTTATTTTAGATTCACAAAGATAGGATTATGCACTCTTTCATTAGAAAAAAATAACCGTGAACATATTTACAGTATAAGCCTTGCCAGTGACATATAAGTGAGAATATATATATATATATATATATATATCAGCCACATTTTCTTATCGGGACGATAACGATAACATAAACATATTTTATCCAATATCATTATGGTGGCCGTCTGGCCGATATCGTGCATCCCAATCAAATTTAATAAAGAAATAATTCAAGTAATGAGGCAAACTTACCTGAAACCAATCACGATGGTCCTGATGAAACGTTCCCCATACTTCTTTTTATAGACCTCATCGAACTGTAAAAACAGTGAGTCAGTTTTAGGAACGTTGTAAAAAATTCTATGAAAATAAAACAATTACTCTCTTTTTTAAGTGTACCACATAATTGAACAAGTGTGATAATAAAGATGTATATTTGAAACCAAGTTTAGACTTTCCTTTAGAATTGTACTACTATTAAAAAAGAGAAAAAATAAGCATTTCAAATCATGAAACATTTTAAAATACTTCATATTTTTATCTTTGCAAATGCTACCACCACACATAGACATACACACATAGACACACACACACACACACACACACACACACATATATATATATATGTTGTTCTGCAGTTCCCTCAACCCTACAGAAGATAAGCAGTTTTGGAGAATGGATGGACGTTCTGCCGTTTGAAACTTACCGCACTCTCAACTTGTGTGGCTAGGGTCTTAAATTCTGGACTTTGTGGGTTTTCAAGTTGTGGAGTAAATATCACAATAATGACAATCTGAATGGCTACTGATGGCAGAGGACGTGGTGCCAATGTGGTGGTGGTGGTGGTGGGCGTTGTTGTTGTTGTTGTTGTTTTTTTGGTGGTGGTGGTGGTGGTGGGCGTTGTTGTTGTTGTTGTTGTTTTTGTGGTGGTGGTGGTTGGTTTGGTTGTAGTTGTAGTGGGACTGGTTGTAGTTGTAGTGGGACTGGTTGTAGTTGTAGTTGTAGTGGGACTAGTTGTAGTTGTTGTGGGACTGGTTGTAGTTGTAGTTGGACTGGTTGTAGTTGTAGTGGGACTGGTTGTGGTTGTAGTTGTAGTGGGACTGGTTGTAGTTGTAGTAGGACTGGCTGTAGTTGTAGTTGTAGTGGGACTGGTTGTAGTTGTAGTGGGACTGGTTGTAGTTGTAGTTGTAGTGGGACTGGTTGTAGTTGTAGTGGGACTGGTTGTAGTTGTAGTGGGACTGGTTGTAGTTGTAGTTGTAGTGGGACTGGTTGTAGTTGTAGTGGGACTGGTTGTAGTTGTAGTTGTAGTTGTAGTGGGACTGGTTGTAGTTGTAGTGGGACTGGTTGTAGTTGTAGTGGGACTGGTTGTAGTTGTAGTAGGACTGGCTGTAGTTGTAGTTGTAGTGGGACTGGTTGTAGTTGTAGTTGTAGTGGGACTGGTTGTAGTTGTAGTAGGACTGGCTGTAGTTGTAGTTGTAGTGGGACTGGTTGTAGTTGTAGTTGTAGTGGGACTGGTTGTAGTTGTAGTTGTAGTAGGACTGGTTGTAGTTGTAGTTGTAGTAGGACTGGTTGTAGTTGTAGTGGGACTGGTTGTAGTTGTAGTTGTAGTGGGACTGGTTGTAGTTGTAGTAGGACTGGCTGTAGTTGTAGTTGTAGTGGGACTGGTTGTAGTTGTAGTTGTAGTGGGACTGGTTGTAGTTGTAGTTGTAGTAGGACTGGTTGTAGTTGTAGTTGTAGTAGGACTGGTTGTAGTTGTAGTGGGACTGGTTGTAGTTGTAGTTGTAGTGGGACTGGTTGTAGTGGCTTTGGTAGTTGTGTTGAGTGGATTTACTGTTGTGTGTTTGGATAATTTGAAGAACAAAGTTATATAAAAATAACAGTTGAGAAAACTATTAATCTTCAGCAAAATCCCCAAGAAATAGTGTATAGAAAGCAATTACAAAAAACTATAGTTTAATAACAATAAAGAGGAAAATAAAGCCTTCCAACCCATTTTGAATGGCATTGCATTGATGATATTGCTTGTTTAACTTACCGTCAACACTGGTGATGTTAAGAGTGCTGTTTCCGTTTACAATGGCATTGGTTATATCGGCTTCAGTGGGTACGGTTCTAAATGTTACGTCCATATCAGTGATGATTGATCCAGAACTACAGAAGGGACGGGGAAGAGAAAGAGTTATTGTCATTGTTTTAAATGTAAGACTCCGTGCACAAACTCTTGTAGGCATTTGGTGAAGTGTTCATGCAGCCATCATTGTTATCTTGTGGTTTTATACAAGTCTTAAGTAAAAAAAAACATTTGACAGTTGCTAATATCTTTTGCCTTGGTGTACCAGTAGAATTTTAGATTTAAAAATTCCTTTTGCAAGTTTTGGAATAATATTGACATGTTTGATGGTACTACAGCCCACACTGAGATCTCATGATCATTCAATCTGTCTGGGATTACATGAACAGACACAAGCAACTAGCCTAAGACTAAACCGACATCCGAAGAAATGTGAAAGCCTTTCCAAGATGCTGGAACAACCTGCCAGCGAATTACTGCACTGTTTAAAAGTTAATGTCTATTCAGCAAATCAAGTCAGTGGTTGGTGTGACCACACTTTGCCTTCAAAACAACTCTTTCCGATGAGTTTTTAAGCTTGGAGAAGTTGCCATTTTATGAATTTATGGGTTTAGCCTCAGTTGTTTCTGTGTCTTCCATGTATTCCCAGATTGACTGGATAATGGGATCAGATCTTTGTGTGGTGCACGTCTTCTGTTGTAAGACTTCTTGTTCATATAAAAATATCACTGAACTATTACAACTGTTATAATAGGAATGTCTGGAAATCTAAAATTGTTATTTCTAACTTGTCCACTAAAGCAATATATTTATTTATATTTAGACTCTTTTTAAAAACAACAAAAAATATGTTTTACAAAAATAGAAAGAAATACCCACCGGAATGAAATGACTTTCAATTTAACGAAGGAGCTACCGAATGCATTTCCAAAGATTGGCGTAAGCTGTGGAAAACAGATTCACAATGTCAGGTTCAACATTTAGTTTGAAATTTTAGACACAGTTAAAAATGAAGTCTCTCTAAACCCCTCATTTCTGCAAGCCTTCTCTGCATTGATTGGTCGGATGGCCCAGTCTGCTGTGATTGGTCAGATGGCCTAGTCTGCTGTGATTGGTCAGATCGTTAACTTCACTTCAGCAACATAAATTCATCAACTAACCATTCAGAAACGTCTTGTTGCATTCTACATGTTGTCACTTCTCTTCTCTCCATCATTGTCCGACTCCAGTTTAAATATTAAGGGCTGAATAGTGTCTGACATTTTAGTGAGTGTCTGCATGAGGTAATCGGAGCTGCTAACTCTTGAAGCTCCGCCCTCTGTGTCGAGAGCAGGAGCTCATTTGCATTTAAGGGGACACATGCAAAACAAAATACTACCTACTGCCTTCATCTTTGTGTTTGTGTGCATCTACCTAACTTTAAACATTTTTTTTGTTTGTTTTTGCTGATCCATAAAATTGTTCCATCCGTGACTCAAAAAACGTGATATAATATGCACTGTAAGTTTTGTAATTTTTTAATTTCCAGATTTTACTTTTACTACTTAACGGATCACACCACTATTAAGGATATATAACGGATCACACCACTATAGAAAGAAAAATCTGGACTAGAAATTATTAAAATAACAGCAAATTGATATACATCTTGACACAAAAAAAATATAGGATAGTTTACACTAATATTAATATCAGGGTTTAAAATAAAGTGCTTAATATATGAACAGTTTGCAGTGCAAATCTGTGCCTTAAACATTGATCATACAACTTACTTCTTTCACGACTTTGTCTTCTCTGTTTTTAAATTCATCTGATAATGGATTTGACAGTTCTGCCACAAAATCTTCATTGCTGGAAAACCTAACTAGAATTGTAGAGGTTAAAGGAGTTGTGACCGTTGTTTCAGCTGTAGAAGTAGGTTGTGCTGTCGTTACAGTTACAGGGGAAGAAGTCGTAGCTGCAGTGTCTCTAGTTGTAGTGTCAGTTGATGTTGGAGTTGGCTGAGGTGTTGTAGTTACGGTAGTTGTAGTGTCAGTTGATGTTGGAGTTGGCTGAGCTGTTGTAGTTACGGTAGTTGTAGTGTCAGTTGATGTTTGAGTTGGCTGAGGTCTTGTAGTTACGGTAGTTGTAGTGTCAGTTGATGTTTCAGTTGGCTGAGGTCTTGTAGTTACGGTAGTTGTAGTGTCAGTTGATGTTTGAGTTGGCTGAGGTGTTGTAGTTACAGTAGTTGCAGTGTCAGTTGATGTTTGAGTTGGCTGAGTTGTTGTAGTTACGGTAGTTGTAGTGTCAGTTGATGTTTCAGTTGGCTGAGGTGTTGTAGTTACGGTAGTTGTAGTGTCAGTTGATGTTTGAGTTGGCTGAGCTGTTGTAGTTACAGTAGTTGTAGTGTCAGTTGATGTTTGAGTTGGCTGAGTTGTTGTAGTTACGGTAGTTGTAGTGTCAGTTGATGTTTGAGTTGGCTGAGCTGTTGTAGTTACGGTAGTTGTAGTGTCAGTTGATGTTTGAGTTGGCTGAGCTGTTGTAGTTACAGTAGTTGCAGTGTCAGTTGATGTTTGAGTTGGCTGAGCTGTTGTAGTTACAGTAGTTGTAGTGTCAGTTGATGTTTGAGTTGGCTGAGGTGTTGTAGTTACGGTAGTTGTAGTGTCAGTTGATGTTGGAGTTGGCTGAGCTGTTGTACTTTCAGTAGTTGCAGTGTCAGTTGATGTTTGAGTTGGCTGAGCTGTTGTAGTTTCAGTAGTTGCAGTATCAGTAGTTGCAGTGTCAGTTGATGTTTGAGTTGTCTGAGCTGTTGTAGTTACAGTAGTTGCAGTGTCAGTTGATTTTTGAGTTGGCTGAGCTGTTGTAGTTACGGTAGTTGTAGTTTCAGTTGATGTTGGAGTTGTCTGAGCTGTTGTAGTTGCAGTGTCAGTTGATGTTTCAGTTGACTGAGCTGTTGTACTTTCAGTAGTTGCAGTGTCAGTTGATGTTTGAGTTGTTTGAGCTGTTGTAGTTACGGTAGTTGTAGTTTCAGTTGATGTTGGAGTTGGCTGAGCTGTTGTAGTTTCAGTAGTTGCAGTGTCAGTAGTTGCAGTGTCAGTTGATGTTCCAGTTGGCTGAGCTGTTGTAGTTTCAGTAGTTGCAGTGTTAGTTGATGTTGGAGTTGTCTGAGCTGTTGTAGTTTCAGTAGTTGCAGTGTCAGTAGTTGCAGTGTCAGTTGATGTTTGAGTTGTCTGAGCTGTTGTAGTTTCAGTAGTTGCCGTGTCAGTTGATGATTGTGTTGTCTGAGCTGTTGTAGTTTCAGTAGTTGCCGTGTCAGTTGATGTTTCAGTTGGCTGAGCTGTTGTAGTTACAGTAGTTGCAGTGTCAGTTGATGTTTCAGTTGTCTGAACTGTTGTAGTTTCAGTAGTTGCAGTGTCAGTTGATGTTTGAGTTGGCTGAGCTGTTGTAGTTACAGTAGTTGCAGTGTCAGTTGATGTTTGAGTCGACTGAGCTGTTGTAGTTTCAGTAGTTGCAGTGTCAGTTGATGTTTCAGTTGGCTGAGCTGTTGTAGTTTCAGTAGTTGCAGTGTCAGTTGATGTTTCAGTAGACTGAGCTGTTGTAGTTTCAGTAGTTGCTGTGTCAGTTGATGTTTGAGTCGACTGAGCTGTTGTAGTTTCAGTAGTTGCTGTGTCAGTTGATGTTTCAGTTGTCTGAGCTGTTGTAGTTTCAGTAGTTGCAGTGTCAGTTGATGTTTGAGTTGGCTGAGCTGTTGTTGTTATAGTAGTTGCAGTGCCAGTTGATGTTTCAGTTGTCTGAACTGTTGTAGTTTCAGTAGTTGCAGTGTCAGTTGATGTTTCAGTTGGCTGAGCTGTTGTAGTTTCAGTAGTTGCAGTGTCAGTTGATGTTTCAGTTGTCTGAACTTTTGTAGTTTCAGTAGTTGCAGTGTCAGTTGATGTTCCAGTTGTCTGAACTGTTGTAGTTACAGTAGTTGCAGTGTCAGTTGATGTTTCAGTTGGCTGAGCTGTTGTAGTTTCAGTAGTTGCAGTGTCAGTTGATGTTCCAGTTGTCTGAACTGTTGTAGTTTCAGTAGTTGCAGTGTCAGTTGATGTTTCAGTTGTCTGAGCTGTTGTAGTTTCAGTAGTTGCAGTGTCAGTTGATGTTTGAGTTGGCTGAGCTGTTGTAGTTACTGTAGTTGCAGTGTCAGTTGATGTTTCAGTTGGCTGAGCTGTTGTAGTTACAGTAGTTGCAGTGTCAGTTGATGTTTCAGTTGTCTGAGCTGTTGTAGTTTCAGTAGTTGCAGTGTCAGTTGATGTTTCAGTTGGCTGAGCTGTTGTAGTTACAGTAGTTGCAGTGTCAGTTGATGTTTCAGTTGTCTGAACTGTTGTAGTTTCAGTAGTTGCAGTGTCAGTTGATGTTTGAGTTGTCTGAGCTGTTGTAGTTTCAGTAGTTGCCGTGTCAGTTGATGTTTCAGTTGGCTGAGCTGTTGTAGTTCCAGTAGTTGCAGTGTCAGTTGATGTTTGAGTTGACTGAGCTGTTGTAGTTTCAGTAGTTGCAGTGTCAGTTGATGTTTCAGTTGGCTGAACTGTTGTAGTTTCAGTAGTTGCAGTGTCAGTTGATGTTTCAGTTGGCTGAGCTGTTGTAGTTCCAGTAGTTGCAGTGTCAGTTGATGTTTCAGTTGTCTGAACTGTTGTAGTTTCAGTAGTTGCAGTGTCAGTTGATGTTTCAGTTGGCTGAGCTGTTGTAGTTACAGTAGTTGCAGTGTCAGTTGATGTTTCAGTTGTCTGAGCTGTTGTAGTTTCAGTAGTTGCTGTGTCAGTTGATGTTTCAGTTGGCTGAGCTGTTGTAGTTACAGTAGTTGCAGTGTCAGTTGATGTTTCAGTTGTCTGAGCTGTTGTAGTTTCAGTAGTTGCTGTGTCAGTTGATGTTTGAGTCGACTGAGCTGTTGTAGTTTCAGTAGTTGCAGTGTCAGTTGATGTTTCAGTTGGCTGAGCTGTTGTAGTTACAGTAGTTGCAGTGTCAGTTGATGTTTCAGTTGTCTGAACTGTTGTAGTTTCAGTAGTTGCAGTGTCAGTTGATGTTTCAGTTGGCTGAGCTGTTGTAGTTCCAGTAGTTGCAGTGTCAGTTGATGTTTCAGTTGTCTGAACTGTTGTAGTTTCAGTAGTTGCAGTGTCAGTTGATGTTTCAGTTGGCTGAGCTGTTGTAGTTTCAGTAGTTGCAGTGTCAGTTGATGTTTCAGTTGTCTGAACTGTTGTAGTTTCAGTAGTTGCAGTGTCAGTTGATGTTTCAGTTGTCTGAGCTGTTGTAGTTCCAGTAGTTGCAGTGTCAGTTGATGTTTCAGTTGGCTGAGCTGTCGTAGTTTCAGTAGTTGCAGTGTCAGTTGATGTTTCAGTTGTCTGAGCTGTTGTAGTTTCAGTAGTTGCAGTGTCAGTTGATGTTTCAGTTGGCTGAGCTGTTGTAGTTACAGTAGTTGCAGTGTCAGTTGATGTTTCAGTTGCCTGAGCTGTTGTAGTTTCAGTAGTTGCAGTGTCAGTTGATGTTTCAGTTGTCTGAGCTGTTGTAGTTTCAGTAGTTGCTGTGTCAGTTGATGTTTGAGTTGACTGAGCTGTTGTAGTTTCAGTAGTTGCAGTGTCAGTTGATGTTTCAGTTGGCTGAGCTGTTGTAGTTACAGTAGTTGCAGTGTCAGTTGATGTTTCAGTTGTCTGAACTGTTGTAGTTTCAGTAGTTGCAGTGTCAGTTGATGTTTCAGTTGTCTGAACTGTTGTAGTTTCAGTAGTTGCAGTGTCAGTTGATGTTTCAGTTGTCTGAGCTGTTGTAGTTCCAGTAGTTGCAGTGTCAGTTGATGTTCCAGTTGGCTGAGCTGTTGTAGTTTCAGTAGTTGCTGTGTCAGTTGATGTTTGAGTCGACTGAGCTGTTGTAGTTTCAGTAGTTGCAGTGTCAGTTGATGTTTCAGTTGTCTGAGCTGTTGTAGTTTCAGTAGTTGCAGTGTCAGTTGATGTTTCAGTTGTCTGAACTGTTGTAGTTTCAGTAGTTGCAGTGTCAGTTGATGTTTCAGTTGTCTGAGCTGTTGTAGTTTCAGTAGTTGCAGTGTCAGTTGATGTTTCAGTTGTCTGAGCTGTTGTAGTTCCAGTAGTTGCAGTGTCAGTTGATGTTCCAGTTGTCTGAACTGTTGTAGTTTCAGTAGTTGCAGTGTCAGTTGATGTTTCAGTTGTCTGAGCTGTTGTAGTTCCAGTAGTTGCAGTGTCAGTTGATGTTTCAGTTGGCTGAGCTGTTGTAGTTTCAGTAGTTGGAGTGTCAGTTGATGTTTCAGTTGGCTGAGCTGTTGTAGTTTCAGTAGTTGTAGTGTCAGTTGATGTTTTAGTAGACTGAGCTGTTGTAGTTTCAGTAGTTGTAGTGTCAGTTGATGTTTCAGTAGACTGAGCGGTTGTAGTTTCAGTAGTTGTAGTGTCAGTTGATGTTTCAGTTGGCTGAGCTGTTGTAGTTTCAGTAGTTGCAGTGTCAGTTGATGTTTCAGTTGGCTGAGCTGTTGTAGTTTCAGTAGTTGTAGTGTCAGTTGATGTTTCAGTAGACTGAGCGGTTGTAGTTTCAGTAGTTGTAGTGTCAGTTGATGTTTCAGTAGACTGAGCTGTTGTAGTTTCAGTAGTTGGAGTGTCAGTTGATGTTTGAGTTGGCTGAGCTGTTGTAGTTTCAGTAGTTGCAGTGTCAGTTGATGTTTCAGTTGGCTGAGCTGTTGTAGTTTCAGTAGTTGCAGTGTCAGTTGATGTTTCAGTTGGCTGAGCTGTTGTAGTTTCAGTAGTTGCAGTGTCAGTTGATGTTTCAGTTGGCTGAGCTGTTGTAGTTTCAGTAGTTGTAGTGTCAGTTGATGTTTCAGTAGACTGAGCGGTTGTAGTTTCAGTAGTTGCAGTGTCAGTTGATGTTCCAGTTGTCTGAGCTGTTGTAGTTTCAGTAGTTGCAGAATCTGTTGATGTTTGAGTTGGCTGAGCTGTTGTAGTTTCAGTAGTTGTAGTGTCAGTTGATGTTTCAGTAGACTGAGCTGTTGTAGTTTCAGTAGTTGGAGTGTCAGTTGATGTTTCAGTTGGCTGAACTGTTGTAGTTTCAGTAGTTGCAGAATCTGTTGATGTTTGAGTTGGCTGAGCTGTTGTAGTTTCAGTAGTTGTAGTGTCAGTTGATGTTTCAGTAGACTGAGCTGTTGTAGTTTCAGTAGTTGCAGTGTCAGTTGATGTTTCAGTAGACTGAGCTGTTGTAGTTTCAGTAGTTGCAGAATATGTTGATGTTTGAGTTGGCTGAGCTGTTGTAGTTTCAGTAGTTGTAGTGTCAGTTGATGTTTCAGTTGTCTGAACTGTTGTAGTTTCAGTAGGTGTAGTGTCAGTTGATGTTTCAGTAGACTGAGCGGTTGTAGTTTCAGTAGGTGTAGTGTCAGTTGATGTTTCAGTAGACTGAGCTGTTGTAGTTTCAGTAGTTGCAGAATCTGTTGATGTTTGAGTTGGCTGAGCTGTTGTAGTTTCAGTAGTTGTAGTGTCAGTTGATGTTTCAGTAGACTGAGCTGTTGTAGTTTCAGTAGTTGGAGTGTCAGTTGATGTTTGAGTTGGCTGAGCTGTTGTAGTTTCAGTAGTTGCAGTGTCAGTTGATGTTTCAGTTGTCTGAGCTGTTGTAGTTTCAGTAGTTGCAGTGTCAGTTGATGTTTCAGTTGGCTGAGCTGTTGTAGTTTCAGTAGTTGCAGAATCTGTTGATGTTTGAGTTGGCTGAGCTGTTGTAGTTTCAGTAGTTGTAGTGTCAGTTGATGTTTCAGTAGACTGAGCTGTTGTAGTTTCAGTAGGTGTAGTGTCAGTTGATGTTTCAGTAGACTGAGCTGTTGTAGTTTCAGTAGTTGGAGTGTCAGTTGATGTTTGAGTTGGCTGAGCTGTTGTAGTTTCAGTAGTTGTAGTGTCAGTTGATGTTTCAGTTGTCTGAACTGTT